CACCAGCCCTTGCAATCTCTGTCATGCTCGGTATCTGAAGTGGCTGGATTTGCTTATTTTCCAAACATGTTTGTTTGAGGCTCCCCATCATGGCAGAAGGCCCCGAGGGCACGAACTCCATGCGTGTTGGCCGTGTGCCCACACAGCCCGGAGCAGCACGTAGTGCACGTTTGCGTGTTTGCAGCCGAGGGACTGGCTGGCAGGAAGGCTGGATCTGACCGTAGCCAGCCTACAGGACAGGGACTAAGTAACTACTGGAAAAGGCCATAAGAAGCCTCTCATCTCCCAGAGGGAAGAGAATGTAAAGTGAGCAGGGGCAGATGGCAAGGTCACTAGGACTCTGTGGTTTGAGCAGAGGTCGCTAAGGAAATAATCAAGCCGGGTTGTGGGGCAGGGGACTGTTGGCTGTGTGTTTAGACACCGGGGTCGGCCGGGACACAGTGGCTTTGCTGAGGTAGCACATGCCCCTCGGGGACTGTGTGGCAGCACTTGGAGATATCCCGTGAGTCCTCTGGGTACTGGTGGGAAATCTAAGGGTGAGGCCAGGACTTGAAGTTCTCTTAAGCAAAAGTTGTGGAAATGCATCATATTCTGGCCCAGTCTCCAACGTGGTGACGGGGGCCGGGCCGAGCTTTGGATCCCTGTCCACCTTCGAAGTTCCAGGGTTCTGTGGAGTCCGGTAGGCAGTTGGAGAGAGATGGCACAGAAAAGCAGGTGAGGTCGGCAGAGCAGTGAGGTGGGCGTGTGGGTGAGCCACCATGGGTTCTAGTGCTGGCCTTCAGCAAGGTGCGCGAGGACGGGGCGGAGCAGCTGAGACGGAGGGTCTCACTGACTGAAGGCACGCACCTGCCAGGCCCGGGCAGGCATTTGCAGTGGGCTTTGCAAGTGTTCCGACCTGGTTTATGTCACTGAGGGGAAAGCTCGGGCATCCCACACTCCCCCACCACGATGTGGTCTTCACTGCTTCTGCGTGGAGACCAGCCCCGCACACAGGGCCTTTTGTGAAGTGTTCTCATTGCCCATCCTGTGGGTGAGCACAGCGGAATCCTGCTCGTCTTCAAATCCAACAAGCCTACCTTTGAAAATGAGCGGAGGCTGAGGAGGCGGTCAGCTGTGTCCCCACAGCTCCTCCACGGTCTACGGCGGTCTGCGTTATCACTTCAGCTTGCAAATCCGGAAATAAAAGTTTGTAGTTGTTTCCTTCCTAAGATTCTTAATGTTATATTGTGTTTTCCCCCCTCTGAGAATAAATGAGCCCTGTTTGTTTTGTGTGCTGCAGAAGAAGTTGAATAGCATTTATCTGAAAATAAACAAGAACTTAGAAAATTTAAGGAGACTTTCCTCACATGCAGCTGGGGAAATAAGACTGTATTTTAAGAATTAAGTTAGACCAGATGTGAAATAACAGACTTTAATGGTATCTTTGAAATAAACTGGGGGTAGGGGAACCCCCTTGGGAGATTAATGAGCCCATTAAATTTAAACACAGTTATTTATTTATTTATTTATTTATTTCCCTTTTAAGACCAAAACAGAAGGTCGCGGATTCAGAACTAGCTTGTGAGCAGGCTCATGAGTATCTTGTTACCAAAGCGAAAAACAGATGGGCAGACTTGTCTAAGGTAAGAGAGTGATCATTCCTTCAAAGGGAAGGGAATCTATTTCGGTGCCTCACGTTGGCCGGGTGATCGAGCTGTTTAGGTCCAGCCACCGAGATGGGCAAGCAGCTTGAACGCAGTCTGCTGGCTCGCTTAATTCTTAAAGTACCTTTTCAAAACACATTCTCGCAGTCAAGGTCAATTTGGTGTTCAGAAGGATAAGTGATTCTGAGAGTTACCTAGACAGGAATCCCGGCCTTATTCCAAGTTTGATATAAATTGAAATTTTCATGGGAGGCCAGACAGTGGCACAGCAGTAAAACGTGGCACCCAGGGAGACCGATCCATGTGGGAAGGTGCCAGGTTCACATCCTGGAGCCCAGAAGGTACCCTGGGTGCATACATCCCCCTGATCTGGTTTGGCTGAGGCTTGGGGTGAGTACTGGGGTGCTGTCTCTGTCTCTCTGTCTTTCTCTTTCTTGCTCACTTGTGGAGAAAAGAAATACACTGAAAAAATGTTCAATGAAAAATATAAAATATTGTCATAGTTCATTTCACACAATTAAACATGCATTTTAAGGAGCTATTTCTTCTTGTCTTGCCAAAATCATAGGAAGCACTTTTACGATGCAGACACCCTCCTTGTGCAGTCATGGACATTGTGACCCTGGTTTCAAGACGGGGATATAAAATCTGATAGTGACCATGACAGCTAGACCTACAACACGGTAGAACCAACTGTGCAGAACTAGGTTTGTCCTGAAACCTAGGATGTGGGACAACCACTTTATAATGCAATAAGGACACAATAACTTCCCTTGAACAATATATATATATATATTTAAAAAAAACAAACTGTCATGGAAGTAAGCTCACATCATTGAGAAGAAGGTCTCGCCTCATTTCCTCTGGTGGTGTTCTTTCCATGTCTGCCCTGTTCTGGCCTGGGCCCAATATGAAGTTCTGTCCTACAGGTCTTGTTAAGCTCCTGGGACTGTCTCTCCTCAGCCCTCTGTCCTCAAAAGACCTGACTGTGCCGACCCAGGCTGGCCAGTCACACAGACCAGAGCTCTGCATGGCGCACTGTGGCACGACTGGTCTTCCAGAGCAGCTGTCTAAGCCAAGCCGTGTGGGCAGGGTCTGGACAAGGAACCTCAGCCCACGTGGTAGACATCAGCTTGGGAAGAGAGCGGGGCACACTGTTTGGCACCATCTTCTAAGCTGCCTCTGCCAGCTTCTCTTTCACCTTCAAACCCGCTCAATCTGACTTATTCCAGGAAAGCAGCCCCCTTCTCTCTAGCCAGCCTCTCCCTCCAACAGGAGCAGACCACACTCCCTGCCACCACTCTTCCCCTTCCTCTTCCTCCTGCCCCTGCAGTCTACCCACTTCCTGCCCCTCAGGGACTCCTGAGGGCCAGTTCCAAGGCCCTTTCCAGCTTTGTCCTTTCCCGCTTTGATTGTCTTCAGCACCTTTGACTGAGCACTGGTTACGTGCTGGATTCAGTGTAACCAAGGTCAGTCTGATCCCCTCCTCATGGAGTCCACAGATCAGTGGAGGTGACAGTCAACAAGCAACAGAGCAGATTAACAAAGCAGGTCAATGCTGTGAGAAACATAAATTATAAATTGATTTCAATGAAGGCTAACTTTCAGTCGTTACTTTAATGGATTTATAAATAGGCACTGGAGAGCGACAAGTAGGCTGGAGAGGTCTTCGTTTCCGCCTTCAGTGAGCGCTCCTATTGATCCACATCTCCCCAGCCAGTGTTCTGGATTTGGAACATTCTAATAAGTGTGCAGTGGTATTTTATTGTGGTTTTAATTTGCATTTCCCTGATGACGTGATGTGGCCTATCTTTTCTTACACTTATTTGACATCTATGTGTCTTTTTTAGTGAGATGTCTGTTAAGGTCTTTGGCCCAGTTTTCAGTTATACTATTAGTTGTCTTATTGCTGTATTTTAAGAATTCTTTAAGTGGGGCCAGCAGGCAACATGGTGGTTAAGGCGTTGGACTTCCACATTGCAGACTGCAGTTCCAGGCCTGAACCTGGCAGCTTGCTTTCCCACTTTCCCTCTTTCTGTGTGTCTCTCTGGTCAAATTGAAAAAATGATAGTGATGAATAAAATTAAATAAAATAATTCTAAAAAAAAGAAAATTGTTTATGTATTTTGGATAACAGTTCTTTATCAGCTATGTCTTTTGCAGATATTTTACCCTTGTCTTCATTTTTTTGACAATTTCTTTTGCCAAGCAGATATTATTTCAGTGAAGTCTAACTTTGAGTTGTTACTTTAATGGATTGTATCCAAGGAGTCATCACCAAACCATGGTCATCTATATTTCCTCTATGTTATCTTCCAGGAGTTTTATAGTTTTGCATTTTGCACTTAAGCCTGTGATTAATTTTTATGGCAAGTATGAGGTCTCAGTCTAGATTTATTTCTTACATGTGTTTGTCCAGTTGTTCTAGCACCACTTTTCTCCATTGTTTTGCATTTGCCTCTTTGTCAAAGATCAGTTGGTTATACTTATGTCGGTCTATTTCTGGGCTCTCTATTCTGTTCCATTAATTTATTTGTTGTGATTACTATAATTTTCTAGTAAATCTTGACGTTGGGTAATGTCAGTCCTCCAATTTTGTTCTTACCCTTTAGTATTGTGTTGGCTCTTCTGGGTCTTTTGCCTTTCCAAATAAACTTTGGAATCATTTTGTTAATATCTACGAAATAACTCGTTGGGATTTTGGTTGTGGTTACATTGAATCTATGTATCAAGTTGGGAAGAACTGAAATCTTGAGATATTGAGCCTTCCTATCCATGAACATAGATTATCTCTCCATCTATTTAGTTATTCTTGATTTCTCTCATCAATGTTTAGTAGTTTATCTCATATAGATCTTACACATATTTTATTAGATTTAAGTTATATAATTTGGGAGGTTTCTAATGTAAATTGTGTTGTATTTTTAACTTCAAATTCCTTTTGTTTATGGGTGTTATATGGGAAAGTGATTGAGTTTTGTATATTACATTATGTCCTGCAGCCTTGGTATAGTCACTTTTGCATATTACAATTTTTTTGTTTTGTCTATTTTTTCTGTTTTCTACATAGATAATCATATTACCTGTGAATGAAGATTATTTTAGTTCTTTCTTTCTACTCCCTATACCTTTCATTTGTTTTTCTTGTCTTACTACTTTAGCTACGAGTTCTAGTACAGGGTTGAAAAGCAGTGGTAAGAACATATGTCATTGCCTTGTTCCTGGTCTTGTGGGAAATCTTTTGGTTTCTCATCATTAAACAAAATGTTAACTCTGCTTTTTAATAGATTTTTAAAAAAAATCAAGTTGAAGCTCCCCTCTAGTCCATGTTTACTGAGAGTTGTCCTCATGAACAGGTATTGGATTTTGTCAGTGCTTTTTCTGCTCTGTTAATACCGTCATGTGATTTTTCTTCTTTTCTCTGTTTATATTATGATTAGCATTAATTTATTTTCAAATGTAACCAACCTTACATGCCTGGGATAGACCTCCGTCAATCATAGTGTATAATTTTTTTTATGCATTGTCGAATTTGATTTGCTAATATTTTGCTGAAAAATTTTGCATCTATGTTCATGAGAGATATTAGTCTCTTATTTTCTCTACTCGTAGTTCTTAAGGATTTTTCTGGTCCCATAGAATGAGTCAGGAAGTGTTCCCTCTGCTTCTATCTTCTTGGCATAGGTTCCCATGGAAGTTGCTACTAATAGGTTATCGGATCTAGAAAGTTGTGATTCTCTGTATTCACTTGTCTATTTCTCCAACTGTGGGGGCAGAGGTTTGCCCTGTAACTTACTTCTTTTATAAAGTAAGAAGAATGCTGATTTTTTTTTTTTTAATTTTTGATCCTGAATGTTTTTTTTTTTTTTTGAGAGATTTTTCACTATAGGGCACGTGCGCTCGCCAGACAGACAGAGAGAGACATTAAAGACAGAAAGCAAGAAATCACCCCCGGGGGGATGGTCACGCAGCAATCCCTTCTCCTCCATTCTCCTCTCAGGATCTTGGGCACGCACGCACACGCGCCCGGCGTGAGTTTTAAGCCACCGGGTCTGAGACGCGAACCGCGGTCGACTATGTGGGAGTCCAGCAACATAGCCATTACGCTAACTGCTGGTTCCCAAGAATGCTGATTTTTCAACTTGTTCAGATTTTTATTTATTGTTGGGATGGAGTGGTGTCCTCTGAACTTACCTGCCATAGCTGCTACACATTTTTAAAGGGACTTTGAAATCCTCCAAACTTAACTTTTAAAAGTTTAATTATGTTTTAAGTTGTGAGTCTACTGTGGAGTATACAAAGCACGTGTGTGTGTGTGTGTGTGTGTGTGTGTGTGTTTTAAAATAAGTTTAAAGTAGTCACCATATAACACTGTCCAGATGAAAGAAAAGAATATTGTTAGCATCTTAAACCAAGAGTTGGCACATTTTTTATTTATTTTTTTGTAAAAGGCCAGACAAGATATTTCTGGCTTTGGATCATAAGACTTCTGACTCATCTACTCAATTCTTCCTCTGTTGCACTTGATATCAATAATATCAGACTTTCTGGGACCGGCAGGTAGCGTAATGGCTATGTCGCTGGCCTCCCACGTAGTCGACCGCGGTTCGCGTCCTGGACCCGGTGGCTTAAAACTCATGCCAGGCACGTGTGCGTGCATGCCCAAGATCCTGAGAGGAGAATGGAGAAGGGATTGCGGCATGGCCATCCCCCCTGGAGGGTAATTTTTCTCTTTCTGTCTCTCTGTCTCTCTCTGTCTGTCTGGTGAGTGCATGTGCCCTAAAGCAAAAAATAAATAAATAAATAAACCTCTCTAAAAAAAAAATAATATCAGACTTTCGTTTTTTTCACTCTGATGGAGGTGTAATAAATCTCATTTTGAACAAGTGCTGGTGAGGCTGTGGTGAGAAAGGAACCCTCTTGCATGGTTGATAGGAATGCAAATTAGTAGAGCCATTGTGGACACAATATGGAGGCTCCTCAAAATTTTACAAATAGAACTACCTACCATATGAACCAGTAATCTCACTCCTGGATATTTACTCAAGGACAGGAAATCATTGAATCAGAAAGACACTTGCACGTCCATGATTATTGCATCATCATTTACAATAGCTAAGATACAGAATTAATAGTATCCAGTAACTGATGATCAGATGTTTTAAAATATGGGACATATACATAGTGGAATACTGCTCAGCCATAAACAATGAGATCCTGTCATCTGATAGAAAGTGGTCAAATCAAGAACATGTAATGCTAAGTGAAATAAGCCAGACTATAAAAGACAGACGTTGTATGTCCTTGCTCAACATATACTAAATGTCTGCACTCTGTGGCAGAAATTCAAAGATTTGGAGGCCTAGAAGTAGAGAGGACAGCTGTAGATACCAGAGACTGCATAGAGTTGGGAGGCTGGGTAGATAGAAGAGGATCAGATGAAAAATCATTTGACAGACAGGAATGCAGGTAGGTGGTGCAAATGTGGAATGGCATACCACAACTAAGTGAAGAAAACAGACATTGCCAATATTATATATGTATATACACACACACATGTATATATGTGTGTATATGTATATATGTGTATATGTACATCTCTCAAATGTGCTCTTTATTGAAAACAATGAATATGTTATAATATTATCCTCAATTTGACTGTCACACACTGTATGCATCCTTTGGAAATCCATATTATACCCTACAGAAATATACTACAATTAGATGTAATTAAGAAATTATAAAATATTAAAAATTGTAAAAACACAGGAAAAATTTCTAAATTTGGAATTTTAATAAAATAAAAACACATTAATAACATAAACACTATTGATAAAATTTTGGAAGGTAATAATAATCAAACCCAGTATTATAAACTTGAATATTTACTGAAATCAAAAGAAAGAAAAAGATTTAGAAAAAAAGAAAATGTATAAAAAGAAAAACATTTTAATTAAACATTTTTCGTATGTCTAAAAATATGTCATTGCAGTTTTAATTAGCATTTTGTTGTTATGAATGAGATTGACTATCTTTTCTTTTCTTTATTCATTAGTCAGGTTTCCTTTCTGTGAATTGTATGATTGAGACTATTTACAGTTTTCATATAGGGTTTTCTATCTTTTTCTTAATGACGTGTAGAAACTGGATACTATTCTTTTGTAAGTGATATGTGATGCAAATATATTTTCTCAGTTTGTGTTCTGTGTTTTCATTTTTTAAAATATGGTGTCTTTTATTAAATATAAATTCCTCATTTTAATGTAGTCAAATTAAAAGAAAATTTTTTCCATAGGCCTTTTTGAAGAAGTCCTGCCTTGCCCTGAAGTCATAAAGATATTCTCTTATTCTCTTCTAGGAGCTTTACAGTTTCAACTTGTACCTTCTGGTCTTGAAATCTGGACTGGGTGTCTCATATGTGTTGAGGCAGGGACCCACTTTTGCTTATTTTACGTGCATATCCAGTTGTCCTATCCCTGCTCTTTGTAAAAATTAATTCTTTTCCCCCACTCAGCAGCATTGCCACTGTCCTACATCACAGCCCACAGGTGTTTCTAAGCTCCTTATTCTATTCCACTGATCAATGTGTCCTAGCACCTGTGCCATATCCTTATAGTCGCTCTTACTTAAAGATACGTCTTCATTAGCCGGTAAGCAACTCCCTCCACTTTGTTCTTCAAGAGTTCTGAATTCATTTGACAAATTTCACAAAGTAAGAAACTAAACAAAATGGGATGTTTGTTTGGAGAGAAGTGACATCTTTACTCTTTAGTCTTTACTCTTCTAATTCATGAACATAGTATATCTCTATTTATTTTGATGTATTTAATGGCATTCAATAAAGTTATATATTTTTGTAGACAGAGGGCTTATACATCATTTATAAATTTATTTCTAGGACTTTCTATTTTTGATGCTATTGTGATACCTTTAAAATTTTTGTTTTTTGTGTCTGATATATAAACATGTGATTGATTTTGTCTGTTGATATAGAATCCAGACTTCTTGCTAAATTTATCTCTTATGATAATTTATTTTTGGATTCTTTGTTTTCCTATATATACAATCATGTCACCTGTGAACAATGACACTTGTATTTCTTCCTGTCCCATCATTATACCTTTTATTTCTTTCTTGCATAATTGAACCAGCTGAGACCCTCAAGACAATGGAATAAAACATGGTATAGATATTCTTGTCTTGTTCCTGGTCTTAAGAGAAATATTTTGATCTTTTACCATTAAGTATGATGCTTACAGAAGATTTTGTACCCTGTATGTCTATCTCATAGTGTTTATCAGGAAAATTAAATGGTTATTACTTGGAAGTAATTTAAGACCGTGCTGAACACCATGGCATGTGTATTAACTGTATTCTAGTCTGTGGTCCTCCTAAATGCCAAACAAATTCCCAGATACCCTCTCTACTTCTTGGGGACATTTAAATGTTACCATGTCATAATAGCTGGGATTCTAATGTCCCTCATTACCCCTTTTATAGCCAGAGAAACAAATCACTACATTGTTGAAATGGTACTCTCATTTCCCCAGGTCTGGCTGACCTTTATTTCAATTGTTTGTGAACCCAAGTTGCTGGTCAAGAGAAGAATGCAGGTTACAAACTAGTCATTTCAGGAGTAACTTCTTTCTAGGACATAATACTTGTTCTTGTTTTGCTCTATCACCTTCCTTATGGAACTTAGATAAATATGAGAGTGAGAATGAATATCTGGAACTTAGATAAACAAATAACTGAGTAAGTGGTTGTGGAGAGATTGGATACTTCCAGATATTGACTACTGAATATTTTGTGTGCCATCATAAACACATTTTATACGTTTCTAAATGCCACCTTCTAACATTGTAGAATTTTATAGAAACTGATAACGAGGGCAATGGTATTCTGCGAAGACGGGATATAAAGAACGCTCTGTATGGCTTTGACATTCCCCTCACACCAAGAGAATTTGAAAAGCTGTGGACAAGGTAAGTTGCTTCTGAAAACTGCCTATTGTTCTTTTTGATGGTCTTGGCTCACTCCCTGCAGCAAATCCAGACATGGTCTGTCATCACTACTTCGGGGTAAGGCATGGGTCTGGGAATGTCTCCTGATTGAAACTATGTTCTTGTTTTTCACCCTCTATAGCAATCAGGTGGACAGGCTGGCTTTAGGAACATGGAGCCTGGGACAAACCCTTATTACCAGTAGTGGACTTGGAAGGTTTGCATTTCCAAGGATCTGGGAGTTCAAACCCACACTTTTGCTGCTTGAGAGAAAAAAGCGACCCTCCAAAGACTTCACTTCCACTTGCTCCACAAACAGATGTGGGTAGAGGGAAAACACGGCTCCTCCCCATAGCCTAAAGTTGGAAATCAGTGTCAGACAACTGTTTTGTAGATAAGTAATTTGCTGGAAGAAAATAGAAAAACATTTGGTGATTTGAAATTGTTTCCTAAGGGTCTCTAACACTGAAAATCGGATCTAATATCGATTCCATTCTCAAAACAGATTGTAGACGTAGCTGTGTTCACGTCAGGCCCCAGTGACGCTGCTCCCTGTGTAGCTGTCCAAGTGTGGAGGTGCTGGGCAGTGGGCGTATCTCCAAGGGCAGGTCTGTCTGTGAATCACTTCTTTCCTCGTCCTGTTCCCCAGTGCTCACAGAGGTCAGCTCGCCCATCGTTCATGGCATTTTTCAGCTTTTCCTCTGTTCAAAGGAGAAGGCTGAACTGTTGGCCGAGTTCAGAATTAGGTGGGTTGTTTTGTGTCTTCTTTAGAAAAGCAATGGAAAGTTCTTACAAAATCTTGGTTTTCTTTTTTTAGATTAGTTCCAACACAGAGCCCATTTAGATGCCCGCTCCACTTCCTTTTCTGTAGATGGCATTCGTAGTTCCAACTAAGAGAGTAAGAGAGAGATCTTTTGGTCCAGCCCACAGACGTATGGCCTCTTGCCCTCTTACTCAGTAGGCCTACTGGAGGGTGTGCTCCTGGTCCTCAGGGAGCTGTCAGGGACAGAAAGCATTCACAGGAGTGACTAGAGTATGGGGGGGGGGAGAACTTCAAAAAGTTCATGGAAAATGAAATGAAAACACAAATTGTTTGTTTTGAAAGGAATTATTTTATTTAACTTTATTTATTTACTTACTTATTTTGATTTGACCAAGAGAGAGAGAAAGCAAGAGAACCAGTCGCCAGGTCTGGGACTTGAACCACAGTTGGCCAGGTGGGAATCCAGTGCCTTAACCACCACGCCAACTGCCAGCCCCGAAAGCACAAGTTTATTTTGGTGCAGTAAAGTTAAGATCCACGCACATTCTCCACAAGCATTTTGAAGCCCTCCGTATCTCATTGACTGTGTCAGATGCCACAAAGAGCAATCAAGGGCCATAGGAGTTAAAGGGGGCAGCAGGGCCACGGAAGGCCGGGCAGTTGCCGTAGCAGAAGTGACATTGAATGCAATGCCCAGGGTCGGGATGGAGAAGACATTCTGAGGAGGGAGACCGCCTGACCCGAGGGCATTCTGTCATTAGTGGCCTCACCGAGGTCCTGGTTTTGGGCTGACTAACCAGGCATTCAGAACGGTGAGATGGGGTGGGGGGCACAACCAGAGCTGTGGTTTGGGAAGAGGAGTCAGGAAGCAGTTCAGAATGAATGATGGGCGAGGCCTGGGGCCTGCTGCCCCTGCCAGGGGTTTGGCCCACCCTGAGCAAGTGTTGCCCATAGTCCTGGAGCCCAGTGTCCCTCACAAGGGTGCCCAAGTGGAGGGTGGGACGTACCTCTGTTCACTCCCATCAGAGGCAGACACTCACCCTGCTTTTGGCTGAAGTTTCTTTATGCATCTCTGACTTTTCCGGAATTATGAAGTGTGCAGGTGTTTATTCTTACTCTGTGCAAAGCTGTTTGTGACCAGCTATCTGTCCTCTGTTTTGAGTTGACCTTATGCAATGGGTGAGTGGCCGAGAACCGCAGCTCTCCAGCCAGACTTGTGTGCGTGCCTCCGGCCGCCTCTTATAGTTGTGTGGCCTCTCTCAGGTTACTTAACTTCTCTGTGCCTGGCTCTCCTCATGTGAGACTGGACTAACCCAGCTGCGGGAGACGACAAAGGTGACTGAGAGCTCATCCCCTTACGATGCTCCCATGCTCTTGAGGAAGACATATTTGGAAGTCTGCATCCCTGGGGGGACAGGTGACCTCAGAGTTTGGTGACTTCTAAACTGGGCTTTTAATTTTAAGTTGACCTTTGTATTTCATGTTACAAAATGAATTTGCTGTGAAGAGGAGAGGTACAAAACTAATGGAAAATCTGGTTTGCTAGAGAAGTCGGTCTGGAGTCCACACAAGAAGCAGATCTTGGTGTGATCATTTCCTGTTTCCTCCTTTCGCTCAGTGAATCTCCTTTTCAGTTCTCGAAATTAACCTCTTTTGAGTCTGCTGGTGGCATGCTGGTTAAGGTGCTGGATCCCTTATGGCCAACTGTGTAGTTCGAGTCCCAGACCCAGCAGTTCGAAAAATATACCCAGTATGTGTGTCCAAAATCCCCAAAGGAGAGATGGGGAGGGATCGTGGCATGACCATCCCCCATGGAGGATGCTTTCTCAGTGTCCCTCTCTGTCTTTCTCTACAGCGGGTGTGTGCACTCTCTAGCAAACTGAAAGACAAAAACAAAAAGAAAGAAAAAGAAATGACCACTTCAGTCAGTACGTGTACTCCTGTCACGATCCTTCAGGCTCCATGCGTGTTTTTCTCTCTTAACTAATAAAATAGTTCCTAGGAGACTTTGCAAATCTTACGCCTGTTATTTTGATTCTATTTCATGAAAAGAACTACTTCCTGTAGTAGTTCAGGATCTTGCTAACTGCATTGGGGTTGTTTTTGCCATTTTTTATGGTGTTAACGTACACATTAGATACACTTCACCACCTTAGCCTTGTCTAAGCACAGCGTTCAGTGGTATTAAATGCACTCTTGGTGCTGTACAGCCATTGCTGTCCATCTCCATAGCTCTGTTGTCAGACTGGAATTCTTAATGGAATTTTAAGTTGACTAACTGCAGTAACAGACGAGGCTGGCATCTCAGTGGCTTCTCCAAACATGACATCATGGTGCAGGGTGGGCGTCATTCTGGACACCCATAGTGTCTTTCGGGAACCAGGCACCCCACCCTCTCCTGGATGTTTCGTGTCCAGCCTACAGCGAAGGGGACAGAGTATGAGGATCGCATGGCCAGCTTTGTGGGGGCTGGGCCTGGGGCGTGGCCATTGCTTGGCCATGTCCTATTGACCAGAATCTGTTCACACGGCTGCATCCACCTGTGCAGGAGGCTGGAGAAACAGTGCGGGTGTGTGTGCGTGTGTGTGTCTAAGGAAAAGAGGCTGCGAGGGGGAGCCCCTAATGGTGTCTGTCCATGCGGATTCAACCCAAGGGGGAAGGAGAGAGGAGCATTCAGGACAAAGGGTCCCCAAGAGAATATCCACAGCATCTAGGCTGGGGAGCAGAAACTTCTGCATGTGCACGGCCATGTGGGGCTCGTGCAGGGACTGTGACACGGGATTAGAAGGACCTGAAGTGTGAAAGGGGAATGTGCATTACTCACAGACCAGAGGCCGCTGCTGCTGTGGGCTCACAGAGCAGGAGAGGAGGGGGGCATTGCCAAAGGTCCAGAAACTTCCCCTTCCCCGGGGGCTGTGGAGTTGAGGAGTGGCCAAAGGGAAGTAGGGTATTTATCCAAGATCAAGAAGTTGCCTCCACCCCAGGCTGGAGCCTACAGCTCTGCCTGGCCAGGTCTCACTGAGCTGTCATGGAAGCTGCTGGAACCTCAGCCTCTGCTGAGCGGAGCGTGGCCATGGCTGCCGCTGGAGTTGGCACTGGAAACAGCAGGGCTCTGTCCCTCCTGTCAGGCAGATGGCCTTGGGCACAGCCCTGTGGAGACACAGAGGACGAGCAGAAGGATGAGCATGTCCTGGGAGCCACCTGACGAAAGTCCTAGAGCCTCTCACATTCTGGGACAGCAGGTGACCAGGTGGCCAGAGGACGCAGCATGGGATGGGCCGGAGAGGAGGCATACGGCAGCGGGACCCCAGCGTGACGGACCAGGACCAGGCAGGGACCTTGCCTGGGAGGACAGGGATTTAGGAGAAAAGAGACAAGGGCGAGCCCACTTTTTAGAAAGATCCCCCTTGCTGCAGGAAAGAGCATACACTGCAGGAGACAAGCCTGAGGGCACGGAGGTGAATTACGGTGGTCAGTGGCCAAGCCAGAGGAAGCTTGAGCTCTGCTGGCGGGGCTGGGAGGACTGGAAGGAAGATCCAGGATATGGAAATTGGCCTTAGTAGCCCGCAAGCAGAGGCTGCTTGGAAGGAGGCAGAGGCTGCTTGGAAGGAGGCAGAGGCTGCTTGGAAGGAGACAGGCGCTGGTGAGTCTCAACAGGAAGTAGGAAGGCTCCTCGAGGGGCCGAGCAGTCTGCAACTAAGGGCTGCCCCTGGCACCCCAGCCCAGAGCACCCGGACTGAGTAGCATGGCCTGGGCCTGCTGCGGGCTCCAACCGTCTGTCCAATGGGAAGGCTCTGACGTCCTATCCTGTAGGGACCGGGCGGGACGTTCTACCCACAGGAGCTTCTCTGTGGGAGACGAACATCACAGTTCACAGCGTGGGTACAGACCAGCACGCGTAAGCATAAAAACCAGGGGCAAGTGATAATACAGATTTGAAAAAAAATTTTCAATCGTGCTATTAAGGCTCACTCATTTTAGTACATTCAGAAAAATCTAGAAAAACAGAAAAGTCAGCCCTGCACCCCTCAGGAGGGCAGTGGCGACTGAGGGTGAGTTTCCCTTCCTTGCTGTGTGATGTCACTCTAGTCCTCAGCCCCAGCCTGTGGCCGGCTCCTCCCCTCCCAGCAGGGTGGGCTGTCAGACCCTGGGGAAGAGCG